CAGGTGTGGTGACAACCACCCGAGTGACACATGCCTCACCGGCTGGTGCCTATGCTCACATTGCCGAACGTAATTGGGAAAATGATTTCGAGGTGAAGCAGTCATGTGGTCGAACCTCGAACATTGATGATATTGCCCTGCAGCTGATTCATGGTGAGACGGGTAGTAAATTCAAAATTATGATGGGTGGTGGTAAGCACCACTTCGTGGACTCATCGCTCTACAGCAAAGGAAAGCGAACCGATGGTCGTAATCTAATTGAGGAATATAAGGCCCAAAACCCACGCAATGCTTATGTGGAGACCAAGGAAGAATTGGCAAAATTAAATTTGAAAGAAGTAGATCGTATCTTGGGTTTGTTCCATGATTCCCATTTGGAATTCCGTTTGGATACAGATGAAAATGCCACCCAACCTACCTTGGAGGAAATGACCCGGCGAACCATTGAATTTTTGAGTCAAGATGAAAATGGCTACTTTGTGTTCATTGAGGGTGGACGCATTGATTCGGCACATCATGATAATACACCGAGGAAGGCCTTAGATGAAACTGTAGAGTTTTCCAAGGCCATTCAATTGGCCCGGGAAATGACCAATGAAGAGGATACTTTGATTGTAGTGACTGCTGATCATTCGCATGCCTTTACCTATGGTGGTTATCCGGTAAGATAACCTAAAGGGTTAACCAGGAATGTTTTAATAATTTTTAAAATTTTTCCTTTCAGTACCGTGGCAGTGACATTTTTGCCAGTTCCCCCACAAAACCGGACGATAAAACTCCCATGATGGTGTTAGGCTACTCCAATGGACCTGGCCATACAAAATTCTATGATTCGAAAAATGGTGTTCGCCACGACCCCACAACGTTGATGACTGGCAAGGCCAATGATGAATATCCTGCCACATTCCCTCGTGACTCGGAAACACATGGTGGTGAAGATGTTGCCGTTTATGCTTCTGGACCTTGGTCACATCTATTTACCGGTGTTTATGAACAAAATGCCATTCCCCATATGATGGCCTATGCCCTGTGTGTGGGTAATGGCCTGAAGGCATGCGATTAGATTAGAATTTAATTATAGACTGATTAAGATAGAAGTACTTGTAGTTTAAGATCTGAATTGTTAGATGTTATAAATATTTGTTGGAGAATTTTATGATGTACGAAAAAAAACATTTGGTTATTTTGGGAAATATTTTTGGTGTCGTCAGAGATCGTTTGATAAGAGATTATGGAATGGGCCAGAATGTTTCAAATATTTGCACCTTTAGCCGTATGGCTAATGAGGGCATACACACTTTGATACGACAAAAATGTAACCCATAAAAAAATTTGGTTTTGACCCCAAGTTCCTTCGATTTTGAAATGTCCTTCCGTCTATTTTGCACATTTATAACAACTTGAAATATGAATAATACCGGTCAATCCCTTCTGGTACCTTCCCCACAAAATTATTCAAATTTTGAGCAAACCTGTATAATGATGGAAATTTCTACCCATCGGTCCACTCCTTCTAGTAATTTCTCCAAATAGTGTCAAAATTAAAAAAAACAGTGAACGGAGCAGCATAGTCGGACGGGGCCGACCATATGATACCCTACACAACTACCACGAAAAGCACACTTTTGGCGGTTCTATATTCTGAGCCTGGGCAATATTTCGCGATATTTGCATATTTTCCAAAATGTTTTTTCTTGAAGTGAATTTTTACGCCATAAAATAAAAAATTGGTCACTTTAGGTTTTGATCAGGCGCTCTAAGTAGTTGGTCAGATCCCCTTCACCTTGTAAAATATGTGATGTTCTGCATATAATAATTGCCTCTAGAGCGACTAGAAAATTTGACAAAATTAAAGTCTTCGGTTCATTGCACCCCCTGACCATAATAGGAAATTCATGTACAATTTCAAAGCGATCAGCGCGACATTTCCGTCCATAGTAATACTATGCACATAGTCACCTTTACCTAATTACGTATAACTCCCAGCCATATAATTGGTATCAATTTGAAGGTCAAGAAGGTCCAAGAATAAAAAAATAAATAAAATTTTGTAATTTTTCACACAAAAGTCAGGGTCCATTTGACCCTCTAAATAATGATCGATCTTTATCAAAACAGGCATGCTTATTCTTAAGCCCGATCCCCTTCTCCAGGTAAAATTTCACGGAGTTCGGACCATAACTGCGGCCTCTGTTGAAGATTGGTACATAACTGTGGCCTGTATCGTGTTTACAAATTATAATGGACAGACGGACGGACGGACACACAGGTCTAGATCGACTCAGTTAGTCGAGATATGATGATCGGTATACTTAAAGGTGGGTCTAGGACCAATATTTCGCGGTGTTACAAACTTTTGGGGCTGCACAAAGCTATAATACCCTGACAACATAGTTGTGTAGGGTATAAAAATTGAATAAAGACCTATTATTTGACCCATTCAGAACTAGCCTATAATTTCCCAGCTAACTATTTGTTCCGTTTCGTTTTTTTTTTTTTTTTGTCGTTTTGTCCGCAGCTCGGGCATTTATATTTTTTAACCTCAGGGGACATTTTACAGCATTTACAGCAGAACTGCCAAAAAGTATGCTATGCGTTTTTTCGTCCGTATGAGATTCTAGTTATTATTTCGACACAGACTGCTTCAAAAATTGCCAATTTCCGCATTATGTTCGGTATGACAGTTGGCTTTTACTAATTTTCCAATTCTTGGTCATTCCTTGGACGTGTCCTTTAGTTTAAGGAAATTTAAAATAAAATTACATCGATATGTTTCTTAAGAATCGTTGATCTATGTGTATGAGCTTAAAAAGAAAAAATAGCATCAAAACAGTACGGATCTTCCAACGTACAAACCCGCAATTATTCGTGGAAGAAGCGAACGCCTTTTTCTTAGACAAAACTGGTAATGTGGCGAATGTATCGCGTGAGCAACGTAGTATGTTAATTTGAAGAGATACATCTTAATTTGTTTGCCTGAAGTCTTCTGATAATTTCGAAAAACGAGCAAGTCATATCTTTACAATTAGAGCTCTCACACATCGTGTCAAACCACCGACTTTTTTTTCGCCAAATCCTAGAATTTATGGATCATCCGTCGATAGGTGGATGATCGAACATCCCGATATTTTGCACACAGAAATGGACCCATCGAATTGACATGGCTGTCTTGATGAAGGTCGGTCAATATTTATCGGATCGAATATAAACCACTCCTAGAGGAGTGGTTGACTTTGAGTTGGATATGGGAGTTATACGTAAATACAGGGTCTACATATTCTGATAGTATGTAGTATTACAATTGCCACACTAGAAGGGGGAAATGTCTCGCTAGGAAATTTTGCATGAAGTTCCGGTTATGGGCAAGGACGACACAAAATGGACCATAAACTTAATTTTTGTGATTTTTTTAAAGTCCCCCTATAGACCACAAGTATAGGCCGAACATCACGACACACCACCATTGACCAGATTTTCACTCTGCGCCAAATCCTGGAAAAGACCCACGAAAAACACACCGACACATACCACCTATTTGTCGACTATAAAACCGCATTCGACAGTCCTATCTGCTCAGAGGTGTTTAACGTAATGTCTACGTTCGGCATTCCTGCAAAATTAATACGGCTATACAGGATAACTTTAAGTGGCACAAGGTCAGCAGTTAAAGTAGGAAAGGACCTATCGGAGCCCTTCAATACCAAACGAGGATTCAAGGTGACAGTTTGTCGTGTGATCTTTTTAACATCCGTGTGATCATACGAGACGCAAAGGTGAACAGAAATGACACTCTGTACACCAAACAACATATGTTACTCGCCTACGCCGATGACATCGATATAATGGGTCGAACATTGCGAGCGGTAACAGCCACCTTTGAACAAATTGAAAAGGAGTCTGCCAAACGGCGAAAAGACCAAGCTGATGGTATCAACGCGCAAAACGTCCAGTAGACTCGGACCAACTGTGGAACTTGAGAACTACAGCTTTGAGGTAGTTAAAGACTTTATATACCTTGGTACCGCTATAACTAAAACGAATGACATCAGTTTTGAAATTCGGAGAAGGATTGTGATGGCCAACAGATGCTACTATGGTCTAAGTAAGCAGTTTAGAAACTATTGAGGCAGCTCTTGGGGTGTTTGAGAGAAAAATTCTCCGAAAGATCGATATTCACCGTCGACGCAGATCGGCCCGCGTTGACGGTGAATATCGGCGTCGAATGAACCACGAGCTTTAAAATTTATACGCGGACATCGACATAGTCTTGAGCTGCAGCGACTACGGAGGCTAGACCATCTTGGAACGTGGTCTTCCAAATTGGTGGATTTGCGCACACGACCGACGCGCTTGGAAATCTTTTTTAAGCTCGGCTTATGGAACAACCGTTCTGCTACAAGCCAGCTATGTAAGTAAGTAATACGCACATTTGGATTATAGATCTACAGAAAGTATGAGTTCTGTGGTAGGAGTGTATAAGGGATCATATGGTCGGCCAATTCGACTATACTGCTCGGCTGACTGGTTTTAATTATCATTGAGTATCAAATCTCACAGCCAAAAATTATCGATATTAGTACAATTTTTGGTATAGACATCATATGAAGGTACCCAAAAATATTCGGTATTTTGACACGTTTTCCAACCAAATTGGTTGTAATTTGGGTTCTAATTATATATCTTCCTCAAAATTTATCAATATTGGTCCGTTTTTAGTATAGCCCTTATATAATGATACCTTCAAATGACGGAATTTTGGATACGTTTTCATTCAAATTTGGTATTTTTAATACGCATTGGATGTCTAATCACACGAGCAAACATTTTCGATATTGGTACACTTTTTAGGATAATCCCTATATAACAATACGCAACAGTATAGCACGATATAACTTGAATTCGAATTTAGTAGATAATCAGGACAATATGTCATACTTTAAAGACTCGCCAAATAATTGAGTTCATATACTGAAACTAAATATCGCAAGATCCAAGACATTTTTACACAACTCACATTAAGATATAATGAATAATTCCTATTGTCCAGGTCTGTCTATATGTCTCTTGTAATATTTTGGATAGATCCTAAAAATAGCCAACAATCGATAAAAAATATATTCCGTGTTTTTGCTCTGCATTTACGAACAGTGTTTGCTGCTACAAACTTCATGCTCAGTTTACCAGTGCGAACATCGTCATTGTTATTTTAAATTAAATTCCTAGCAGAACCAAAGTGGTCTTAATTTTGCATTTCGGATTCTCAGAGGGTAAAATATCGTCTCATAAGCTTGATTCAATGTGTATTAATAATTGGCATTAAAATAACACCATATTTATGGCAATCTAAATGGCTAAAAATGTTTTTCTTGTTATTTATTTTTTAACCTGGTTAGGTACATACAATTAGATACAATCATTTACATCATGCAAGTATACATTTACAATTATATTCCCACTATATAAAACTAATTTTCCATTGTGATTTAATATTTAAAAAAATCTAGGTCGAAAGGATATACTAACACAGCGAACGAAACGACATAGAAACACATCATTAACATTTGTTAAATGGACTAAATGTGTCCTATAGCTGCTGCTGCTGCTCACTTCAATTTTATTGTTAACAATTCTCTGGTTGTTGCTGTGTTTATGTGCTGACCCGAGTGCCATTGCCACTGTTGTTGTCATTGCTGTTATTGCTGCTGAGTTTATAAATATGACCACACATAATGACAATGGCAAAAAAATGACACAGAATGTCATCAACAGCATTTGAGACATCAATAAGTGTGACCAATGTCATTCAAAGAGGACAATAACCATTTGTATTCGGTATGACATGGTGAATGGATGGTATATTCAGGGAGGAGGAAGCAAAAGAGGGTAGGTGAAGAGCTATAACAAGGGCTTTTGTACATTTTGCTGTCACACTTTCAAACAGAATGGAATATTGTCCGTACATACATACATATTTTTGTAGGAAGTTATGTTTTGTGGATGACACAAACATATTGTTGTTGGTCTTGTAAATTTTTGTAAAATGGAATTCTGTGTTGGTGAAATGAATATATACATATAAAGGGA